TAAGGGACAACCAATGGATGTAATATATTTGGATTTTCAGAAGCTTTTGTTAAGTCCCTCATAAGACATTAGTGGACAAAGTTAAACCATATGAGATAAGGAGTAGTATTTTGGTATGGATTGAAAATTGGCTGACAGACTGGAAACAGAGTTGGATAAATGGGTCTTTTTCTGAGTGGCAGCCACTGACTAGTGGGGTCCTGCAAGGATTAGTATTTGGAGCCCAGCTATTCACAATGTATTAAGTGGCATGGATAAGGAAACCAAACTTTCCAAGTTTACTGACAACAGAAAACTAAGCGCAATTGTGAGTTGTGAAGAGGATCCAAGGAGGCTGCAAGGTGATTCGGACAAGTCGAGTGAGTGGATAAATACATGGCAGATGCAGTGAAATGTGGCTAAATGTGAAATTATATACTTTGATGTGAAAAAAGAAGAGTATTATTATGTAAATGATATTGGGAGGTGTGAATGTACAAAGGGTGTCCATGTTCACCAGTTAATGAAAGTAGACAGATAGGTGCACCAAGCAATTAGGAAAGTAAATGCTACATTTGCCTCTTTTTGCAAAATGATTTGATTTAAGGAGTTGGGATGTTTATGGCAGTTATACAGAGCCTTATTGAGACCACACCTGCAGCGTTGCATACAGTTTTGATTTCCCTACCTAAGAGGGGATATACTTGAGAGAGAGGGAGCACAAGGAGGTTCACTGAACTGAAACTGGGACGACAGAACTGATCCATGAAGAGAGATTGATTCTACTTGGCCTCTATTTACTAGTATTCAAAAGGGAGACGGGATGTGATTGAACATATAACATTCCAACAGGGATAGACAACTAGACGCGAGGAAGATGTTTCCTCTGTTTGGCAAGTCTAGAACCAGGGGACACAGTCTCAGGATACGGGGCAGCGCTGAGATGAGGAAACATTTCAAAGTGAAGCTGTGGAATTCTATACCACAACAGCCATGAAGGCCTAGTTTTTAAATGTTAAAGGCATCAAGGGGTATGGGGAGAAAATGGGAATATAACATTGAGATAGAGAATCAGATAGTGATCATATTGAATGGTGGAGCAGGCTTGAAGGGCTGGATTACCCACTTCTGTTCTTAGTTTCTAAGTTTGAGGGCACAGCATTCCAGGAAGGATTTATTGGTTTTGGAATGTAGTTTCACCGGATGTTTACAGGATTAAAGGATAAGGTTGAGAGAATAAGTGACCAATTAATAACCCTATTAACTTAGGAAAAGGTGTGTCAATGTCAACCACTAAAAATAGATGATGAATTTGAATTTGTTAATGGTTTAATGCAAAAGCATCTCAGGAGCACTTTGATTTTTTTTTATTATCCTGGCCTCATTTGGAATATTGTGTTTAGTTTTAGGCAAAGGTTGCCCAGGTCAACTCTCAGAGAGCTGCACCAAGGAAACTCCCATGTGCTATAAAGAGACAGAACGCAGAACTGAACTGTTCAAAAAAGACTGAGAGAAGGAGGTTTCTAATATGCAAGAAGGAACAAATAATTTAGATGCAGCGGTTATTTCATTTAAGCCTGAAGATTATTCATTTCTAATTAGTGAGCCTGAAACTATTGCTGACCTAATGATGAGCAAATGTGTAAAACAGATATTGAAATTTCCATTTAACTGAAGATATCAGTTTCAGTCAGCAGGCCACAAGTTCAACATGACAGTGGATCCAGTTAGACCTGAAGAGGGTGCCCAGTGCACAGGTGGGCTGGGTGGAAAGGAAGATTCAAACATAAACCATTCCTCTTGCCCTTACCACTCACTCCCTCACACCTTTACCAGATCATCTTTATCCACCTCCATGTTCCCATTTCATATTCCATGCCAGTATATGCCCTATGTCTACCAGCTAGCCCCTTATCACCCCTATGTTAACATGGTGCCAGCTCATGCTAATCCTTCAAATTCCACCCACTGTGCCAACTCATCTAATATCCATCATGAGCATACCTCAGGAAGGATGAGGTAAATCAAGGAGTAGAGTCAAATCTCTACTTGTATTGTTGTTACAGGATGAGATAAGTACAATAGCAAGAATATCCACATGGGTGGAACTGAATAAAAAGGGAAAGAAGGCATTGGAGTATATAAGGTACTCCACATAAGGCTACTTAATAAGCTAGCAGAATAAGCATGGTATTGGACAGGGAGTTGGGATGAAAGGGGGCATTTTCAGGATAGCAATGTAACTAATGTTGTTTCACAGGGAACCACAATTACTCACAATATAGATTAATGAAAAGGAAACAAAGAACTGCAGATGGTAGAAATCTGAAAGAAAAACAGAATCTGCTGGAGCAACTCAGCAGGTCTGGCAGCATCTGTGCATAGAAAGCAGTCAACATATTGGGTCCAGTGAACTTTCTTCAGAACTTGTTTTGAAACAATTTTTGTTCCTGTTTGTGATATATGTTAATGACTTGGATGAGGAATGTGAATATTTTATAGGCACATTTGCAGATGACACAAAAATTATTGGAAAAGCAAATGATGAAGATGGCATAAAGAGTCTGTAAAGGGATACTACAGGCTAAGCAAGTTAGCTGTGCACTTTGGAAGGAAAAATAGAGGAGCTAAGTATTATTTAAATTGACAATGACTGCAGAAAACTACACACCAGAGGGATTTGGGAATCCTTATGCATAAATCACAAAATGAGAGGATCCAAATTCAGAGAGTAATAGAGAAGGCAAATGGAATGTTGGCCTTTATTTCAAAGGGAATGGAGTAAAAGTAGGGAGGTTTTGCTATAACTATACAAGGCACTAATCAGATCACAGCTGGAATACAATGAACAGTTTTCAGCTCCATATCTAAGGAAAGATATACTGCCATTGGTGGAAGTCCAGAGATGGTTCACCGTGTTGATCCCAGATCTGGAGGGAGAGGCTGAGTAGGCTGGTCCTGTATTCATTAGAATTTAGAAGACCGAGAGCGACCTTATTGAAACAATTATTATTTGTAGGGAACTTGAAAGGGTAGATTCAGAATGGTTATTTCCCATCGTGGGTGAGTCTAGGACCAGAGGGTATAATCTCAGAGTAAGGGCTCACTAATTTAAAGCAGAGGTGAGGAGGAATTTTTTTTTAAGAAGGTACTGAATCTGAGGAATTCTTTACTACAGAAAGCTATTGAGACTGGGTCATTAAGTATATCCAGGGGTGAGATAGATTTGTAATCAGTAAGGGAATTGAGAGTTTATGGGGAAAAGGCAGGAATGAGGAGTTGAAGATTACCAGAATAGCCATGATCTCATTGAATGATGCAGCAGATGTGATGGGCCAAATAGCCTACTCCTGCACCTCTGTCTTATGATCTTATAGATTTTGTCTCATTCTGGGAATACAGGCCTGGAGTCCTCAATCTCTTCAGAGGACAATCCCACCATCCAAAGACTCAATCTGATGAACCACTGCTGCACTCCCTCTATGGCAGTGTATCCTTACTTAGATAAGCGGACCAGAACTGTGAACACTCACACATGTTCTGTACAAATGAAGCAAGACAACTTTGTTGGTGTGCTCGAATCCTCTTGTGATAAAGGCCAATACGCCATTTTCATCATGAATAGTTTGCTGCGCCTACATGTTTGTTTTCAGTGACTTATGAATAAGAGCATCCAGTTCTCTTGGGACACCAACACTTTCCAATTTCTGTCCATTCTGCACCTTCATTCCTCCAACCTGACTCAAGCTTGTCCACGTTATTATCCATGTGCCATACACTTAGCCACTCATTCAGTCTGCCTAAACCCCCTGAAGCCTTTTTACAGCTTCCTCACAACTCATATTTCCCACCAGCCTGTACAGCATCCCTGGTAGGGTTGGATTTTTTTTTTAAGACTAACTTGCTGGACCACATGATACCCTTAGCCACATGGTGTCAGTGAAACAAAATCATACAGGATCTGAATTGTGCTGGATTGTGATATTCTGAATCCATACAATGCTAATCACAATGTGAGCAGAGTTAGATTCATGCAGTCTAGCAATAAATTGGGTTGACAAGATGGGAGTGCATAGCTTCCAAATAAAATGATGAGATACGGTGAAAGTAGTGGCCTGGACTCCCTCATGGGAGTGGTCTGGCGAGATAGTCATGGGCAATGCTATAGAGTAAAGCAAGGTGTCTATAGCTGCACTATTGCACAGTGGTTTATAAATATGCAGTCTCAACAAGATAAGACAGGCAAGTGATCAATGTGGTTCATTTTGTTCATAAGATCATTGAAAGACAATATAAAATAGGGGGTACAATTCTAAAGGTGATGCAGGAGCAGAGGAACCTGGGAGTATATGTGCAGAGATCATTGAAATTGGCAGAACAGGTGGAGAGAGCAATTAAGAAAGCAGGACAGAAGGAAGCGATATTGAACTAGTATTAAAAACTTGTTAGACCTCAGCTGGAATATTGTGTACAGTTGTGGGTGCCACATTATATGAAAGATGTGAATGCATTTGGAGAGTCAGAAATGATTTAGGTGAATTGTCCCAGGAATGAGAAATTCAATTATGAAGATAGATTGAAGAAATTGGGACTGTTCTCCTTGAGGAGTAGGAGGCTGAGAGGAGATTTGATAGAGGTTTTCAAAATCATGAATGAACCGGATAGAAAGAAGTGGCTCCTACTTGTAAAAGGAATGAGAGTAAGGGGGCATAGCTTTAAAGTAATGTGCAAAGCGAAGGTGAACTAACAAAAAGTTTCTTTCACACAGTGAGTAGTTTAGGTAATGGAATACACTGCCTGGAAATGTGATGGAGACAGGTTCCATCAAGGCATTCAAGAGGAGCTTTGCATGATTATTTGGATAGAAATAAGGCAAGGGTGTGGAGTAAGAGCAGAAGTTTGGTACGAGGTAAATATGGTCATTTGATAAGCTGGAGCAGGTGATTTGAATCTCCTGCGCTGTAACAATTCAGTGATTCCCTCTTGTCAGTTCACAATATTTGTTTGCAATTGTGTTTTAGGTTCCACATTGTGCAGCTCCCCAGAGCAAACAGGCACCTGTGAAATGCAGGATCATCACAACCGGCAGCCAAGCCCCACCCTGGAGAACCTGCTCACCCTTTCTTTATCGGATGATGTGCACTCTGTGAGTTTCAATGCTGCAGTCGGTGCAACACAGCCAACAAAGTCCTCCAGCTACTGCCGAACCTCCGAGTTGTTTGAGACGAGCACCCCTGATGCTTCAGGCGTCTCCCAGGAAGAGGATGTGAGCAAACAGTTGGTCGACACCGAGACTCGACCCAGCACCAAGAAAATGTGGTTTTCAGAAACAGCTACATCGGATGAATCAAAAAAACTGTTTCTCGAGGAGGGGAACAAAACACGAGTATTTTACGTGAATGGTGAGTAATGGTGAGCATTTGTACAAATCCCTGAAGAAACAGGCCCTCCTCAGGGCACTTGTGGGCACAGTACAGCACCAAGGAAAGAGACAATGATCTGAAGCAACTGGGAGTACTCTCTTTCCAATGCCTCTGTGAACAGCCTGTTGCCCGTTTCCTAATCATACCAAATCTTGTTCACCAGTCACCCCACTCTTACTGACTGGCATCGGTTGCTGCTCCAACAGCACCTCACATTCAATTCTCAATTTGCCATCAAGGTCCCCTATGCTTTGTTTCACTCCTGATCTTTATAAGTTGTTCTGGCCCTATAATTCATCATGACCTCTGCCTTACTACAACTTTGTCCTGTCCTGCATCTCCTATTTAAGCATATCTTAAGTGCTCCCTAAGTGCTGGAACTCCCTCTTGGAACCTCTGTCTTGAAGGTGCTCCTCAAAACCTCCTCCTTTGACCAAACATTTGGTCACCTGTTCTCAGATCCTCTCATTTGTCCCTGACGGCAAGCTTTAATTAAGAAATGTTTCTATGTAGTGCTTTGGAAAGTTTTACCGTGTATATGTCTCAAGGTCCAATGGCTTTTGAGCCAAACATTCACACCCGCAAGCTGTTCAGCTACCTGGGAGTAAATTACATAGTTATCGGCAGGCAGGCCGAAGGCCTATATCATTAACAGGTTACCCTATCATGGACAATCACTCTTATTTTGTACACAGCCCTGGCTTCAGTTCTTTATTCGTTCACAGGATGAGGGCGTCGCTGGCTAGGCCAGCATTTATTGCCCATGCCTTAATTGCCCAGAGGGCAGTTAAGAGTCAACCACATTGCTGTGGGTCTGGAGTCACATGTAGGCCAGACCAGGTAAGGATGGCAGTTTCCTTCCCTAATGGACATTAGTGAACCAGATGGGTTTTTCCCGACAGTCAGCAATGGATTCATGGTCATCATTAGACTCTTAATTCCAGATTTTAGTTGAATTCAAGTTCCACCATCTGCCATGCAGGATTCAAACCCAGGTCCACAGGACATTACCTGGGTCTCTGGATTAACAGTCCAGCAATAATGCCACTAGGCCATTGCCTCTCCGCCCCCTGTACATAAGACTCGCTGGGATGATCGCTGGATTGTCAGTTCATTTGCAACTAAACTTTCCCCATTACTTGAACAAGCAGCTGTTTAAACAATACTTACAATGAGTTTCAGGTTTTAAATAGTGCAGCAGTCCTTCAACGATCCTTGGTTTTTTACAACAGTCCTTTTCCCATTCAGTTCACAATCAAAATATACAGAAAAATAAAATAATTACAATCAGCATATGCCTCCAGCCTTGTAAGATGAAACACCATTTCAAAAATGTGTTCTATCATAAACTTTGTGGAAAATGGGACTAATGCAAATTTGTATGTTTGGCAGTACAGACTCAATGGCCTGAAGATCCTTTTCTGTACTTACTGATTCTATGATACTCAAACAACAATACACGACTCTTAAATCCATTCATTCTTCCTCCTTCTCCCTTTTAGAACCTTGTATAATCTTATCATTTCTTATACCATTAACTTATTTCATCATTTTACACTTGGGACAATGTAGCTGGGGAGAAAGTGTTGTACCGGGTACCTCTTATATTTCCTCTAAACCCAAGTTTAGTACTTCAATTATCTCTGTTTCATAGCTCTGCCAGGCAATGCTACCTACAGGTTACTCGCCAACTCAGTCAACCTGCCAACTCTGCCAAATGAAGGAAATCCTTTGTCATTTCCAGTGCAATTTCTTAAATGCAGAAGGACCTGGTGTTTTACTTTACCTATGTTACTTACTAATACCGCACACAAATCCTCATTGACTGTTTCAAATCAAATTCCAAATTCTGTTGTTCCTCACTCAGGTAACACGCTGGAACTCAATGTCTGCTACTCTGGAACAGTCACAAAATTTAAAGATTAAACAGGATACAAAATTCCTCCATTTATTTGTTTTTTTAGACTGAGGTTGACAAAAAAAATGAACCGGGTTTCTGGACATAAAAATAATTATTACTTATTGCTAATAAATAATATTATCCGGCTTGAAGGAGTTGCCACCTTCCTGGGGGCAGCACGGTGGCTCAGGTGTTAGCATTGCTGCCTCACAGCGCCAGGGATCCAGGTTCAATACCACTCTTGTGCAACTGTCTGTGTGGAGTTTGCACATTCTCCCCGTGTCTGCGTGGGTTTCCTCTGGGTGCTCTGGTTTCCTCCCACAGTCCAAAGATGTGCAGGTTAGGTGGATTGGCCAAGCTAAATTGCCCGTAGTGTTCAGGGATGTGTAGATTAGGTGGGTTATGGGTGATGGGTCTGGGTGGGATGCGCTACGGGTTGGTGTGGACTAGTTGGGCTGAAGGGCCTGTTTCCACACTGTAGGCATTCTATAAAAATAAGTACGTTCTAGCTACAGGTAAATAGTGATAAACCATTGACATAGAACATTGAACAGTACAGCACAGTACAGGCCCTTCAGCCCACGATGTTGTGCCAAACTTTTACCCTAAACCTAAGTCTATCTAACCTCCACCCCTACCTTATACTATCATCCATATGCCTACCTAATAGCCGCTTAAATGCCCCTCATGAGGCCTACTCCACTACCCTCTCTGGCAATGCATTCCACGCCCCTACCACTCTCTGAGTAAAGAACCTACCTCTGACATCTCCCCTGTATCTACCTCCACTCACTTTAAAACTATGCCCCTCATAATAGCTACCTCCACCCTAGGAAAAAGTCTCTGGCTGTCCACTCTATCTTTACCTCTGATCATTTTGTACACCTCTATCAAGTCACCTCTCATCCTTCGTCGTTCTAAAGAGAAAAGCCCTAACTGTCTCAACCTTTCCTCATAAGACCTTCCCTCCATTCCAGGCAACATCCTGGTACATCTCCTCTGCACCTTTTCCAGTGCTTCCACATTTTCCTGTAATGAGGTGACCAGAACTGGACACAATACTCCAGATGTGGCTGAACCAGGGTTTTGTATAGCTGGAGCATAACTTCACGGCTCTTGAACTCAATCGCTCTATTAATGAAAGCTAACACACCATACACCTTCTTAACAACTCTATCCACCTGGGTGGCAGCTTTCAGGGAACTGTGGACATGAACCCCGAGATCCCTCTGCTCCTCCACACTGCTAAGAATCTTTCCGTTAACCTTGTATTCTGCTTTCACGTTTGTCCTTCCAAAATGAATCACCTCACACTTTTCAGGGTTAAACTCCATTTGCCACTTCTCAGCCCAGCTCTGCATCCTATCAATGTCCCTTTGTAACCTAGAACAGCCCTCCGCACTATCCACAACTCAACCCACCTTCGTATCATCTGCGAACTTACTAATCCATCCTTCCACTCCTACATCCAAAATCATTTACAAAAATCACAAATAGGAATGGACCCAGAACAGATCCTTGTGGTACACCACTCGTAATAATTGAGCACCATGTTGAATATTTTCTGTCTACTACCACCCTTTGTCTTGTAAGGGTCAGCCAATTGTGAATCCAATCTGCCATATTTCCCCCTATCCCATACCTCCTTACTTCCTGCATGAGCCTACCATGGGGAACCTTATCAAAAGCCGTACTTAAATCTATGACATACACCTCTTCTAGTTAAAACATTAGTATAAACCAGCCCCCATCCCCCACAAAAGACACACATACAATACAGACAGATAGAAAAATATCATGGGTATTATGGGCATAAGGAAGGACTGGAAAGTCAGTTCAATGGCCCCTGTCCATAGGACTCAGTGGGATGATCACTGGACTGTCAGGACCTTCTGCTGCTTGACTTCTCTTCACCAGGAACTTTCACTTGTCTGCAGGAGGCACAAAGCGACTAAAGTGAGAAGATGGGGAAGGTAGTCAGGTCAGCTCAGGATTAGATATAAGTTCAGGGCCTAGTTGGGTAGATTGTTTGGGAAAGTGGTTTGGTAGTTGGGCAGGAGTGTCGGGTGGTCAAGGAGGGTAGTCAGGTAGTCAGGTAGTCAGAAGACAACCCCTAAATTACCCCTCTCCCTCAGGTCATGAAGATCCTAATGATGTCACTTCAGGGGCTCATTTTTCAACTGAGCAGCCTATAAAATTCCAGTGCACAGTCTGACCACTTAGAGGAAAACCAGCAGCAATGTCCCTGAGCTACTTAACCACTTGTGAGAAAACCAGCAGCAGTGTCTCTGAGCTATTTGACCATTGTGAGAAAAAGCCAGCAGCAGTGTCTCTGAGCTATTTGACCATTGTGAGAAAAAGCCAGCAGCAGTGTCTCTGAGCTATTTGACGACTTGTGAGAAAGCCAGCAATATGTCTCTGAGTTGTTTGACCACTGTGAGAAAGCCAGCAGTAGCGTCTCTGAGCTATTCACACAGCTTCCCAGGTTTGTAACCTTACCAGTCAGCTTACAGAGGAAGATACAGCAGCACACCAAAATGACTAAATAATTAAAGGGCAAAGGGAGAAAGGAACTACAATATTTATCACTAAATACAAAAAGTACGAGGTAAACTAATAAGGATAAAGACCAATAAGTCCACTGGACCTGATGGGATACATCCTAGGGGTCAAAGGAATTAGCTACAGAGTTAATGAATTCACTGGTAATAATCTTCTGGGAATCCCTAGATTCTGGAAGACTACCAGAGTTTTGGAAAACTGCCAGTGTTTCACCTTTATTTAAAAAGGGAAAGAGACAAAAAAGGTAACTATAGGCCAGTTAGCTTAATGTCTGTTATTGGGAAATTGATACAAGATTTTTAGAGGACTTGACAGGGTAGATATGGAAAGGTTGTTTCCCCTTGTGGGAGTGAATCTAGGATCAGAGGGCATAATCTCAGAATAATGGATTGCCTATGTAAGACAGAGATAAGGAGGAATTTCTTCTCCTAGAGGGTGGTGAATCTATGGAATGCTTCTAGTAATCAGCCCAGTGAATCTCTTCTGAATTGCCTCCAGTGCCAATATATCTCTTCTTAAATAGAGGGACCAAAACTGTACACAGTACTCTAGGTGCAGCGTCATCAGCACCCTGTATAGTTGTAACAAGACTTCCCTGTGTTTAAACTCCAACCCTCCAGCAATAAAGGACAACATTTGCATCCTTAATTACTTGCTGTGTTTCTTTTTATGTTTTATGCATGAGAATACCTAGATCCCTGTACATTTTTTGGAGCCTCTCTCCATTTGAAAGTAGTTTTTTTTATTCTTCCTACAAAAATGCATGATCTCACATTTTCCAACATTAAACTCCATCTACCAAGATTTGCCCATTTCCTCAACCTATCTACATCCTTATGTCTTCATAACAACATGCCCTCCCCACCTATTTTTGTATTGTCAGCAAATATTAATACATTACACTTTGTTCCTTTCTCCAAGTCATTACTATAGATAGTAAATATTTGAGGCCTGAGAACTAATCCTTGTGGTGCTGTTATATCTTTCCAATCTGAAAAAGACTCACTAATCCTGACTGTCTGTCTTCAGTTTATTGACCAATCCTCAGTTCATGTGAATACATTACCCCAATACCATGAGCTCCTATCTTGTGCAATTATCTATTATATGGCATCTTATCAATTCCCTCTGGAAATTCAAATATACTACATTTACTGGTGACCCTTTATAAACTCTGCTTGTTATATTCTCAAAGAACTCTAGAAAATTTAGCAAACATGATTACCCTTTCACAAACCATGTTGTTTCTGACCTGCTATTTCTTCTGCAAAAAGTTCCTAATCCTCTAGCCTACTACTAGTTTTTGCTGGTTACTACACTTTACTTTTTAGTTATATACTCTCCTTGAGCTCCTTTGTTAATCATGGGTGCTTCATCCTTCTCATAGAAGCCTTCGTTTTCACCAAAATAAATTTTTGCTGGGCATTATAAAATATCTGCTCAAGTATCTGTCACTGCTCTTCCACTGAATTTCCCTTTCCTCTATTTTCCCATGATACTTCAGACAACTCTTTGTTTATATCTCTGTAATTGCCCTTATTTAACTTGAGGACACTGGTTTGAGATCCAAGTTGCTCTCCCTCAAACTGAATTTAGAATACTATCATGTTGTGATCTCTACTCCCTAAAGGACCATTAATTACTAGATCTCTTATTTCCTTACATGCCCCCGTTATGTCCTGATTCATGCTTCATAGAAACGTCCAACTCTGATCGTTTTTTTTACACCTCATCTTCCAGAGATGGACTCCTTCTCAAATATGGAGAAAAACAGTCGTGTGATTGGAGAGATTGCATTCCAACTTGACCGGAGGATTCTTGCACATGTATTCCCAGGATTAACCAGGCTGTATGGATACACCGTATCTAACATCCCATCCAAAATCAAACAGGTACCTCTTCCACCATTCCCTTTTCATGCATTTTATCCTGAAAAGATTAGAATTTTTTAGTTAAATGGCAACTTAATGTTGATTCTCAATATGGAGATGCATTTTTTTGATACCTGTTTTAACTAAGTTACTTTATATGTTTTGATATGAGTGCTGTAGCAGATATATAGTGTTCCTGGCTACTTTCCTGGAAACTCACTGGGGCTATGTTTGACTTTGTCCAGGAGTGAGAAGCAAGTGATAGCATCTCAGCCTCTCTTCCACATCTCACTTCTGCATTTCTTACAGAATTCCATTAATCCCATGGATGGCACAGTGGACAAACAGAAGTGGAGGGAAATGACGCAGTGTTACACAGCCTTGTTATCAAAACTCGAGAAACTTAACTATAACACAGACATCCATACAGGCTTCAGTGAGTTTCTGGTTAACACCTATGGGATTCTCAAGCAGCGCCCAAATGCCTACACCAACATCACCTACAATCCCATCATCCTGCGTAAACTCGTCATTGACATGGTCCCTGCTAAGTTTCTCCGGGACACACTGGTTTTGCTGAACTGTCTCTGTGAGCTATCACGCAATGACAAGAAACCCTTGTTTCCATGGTGACCATCATTACCTCTGAAATCATTCAGAGTTCACAAGATTTAAAATAAACCATTTATTTTCCTGTTTTGTTTGAAAGGAAAGTGTAAAGAAGTGTTCTGAGATCGATGACTGACAATGTTAATGCTGATGTTCCTGTGCTATTTGATTGTGTGGAGACCCATCATTTGAAGAATTGAAAAATACTATTATAAATAAATCTATGTAATGTTTAGAAAGAAAGAACAGCTTTCAGCAAATCTTTTTGAATCTTGAGATGATGTAGCTTAAATGAAGATAACCTTCTGTAGTCATGACCAAAACCCCTGGACAACAGGAGGATCATTGAGAAGGGACCATAAATAGATTTTAGAAGGTGTCTTGTTCTCCCTTTGGGTCACAAGCGTTTTTACACACAGAACAGAACTGAATATGTTTCCTTCAATGATTGTGCTCCATGACTGTCATGTTGGCTGCCTTTCCCTGACAATCCAATTCCAGGTAAGGTGATCATATCTAATTGATATTTTCAGTCTCAGATCCAGAAAGAAACAGAAATTGCTGGAGAAACTCAGCAGGTATGGCAGCATCTGTGGGAAGAAACCAGAGTCAACATTTTGAGTCCAGTGACTCTTCATCAGAAATGAAGATCACGAAAAGTCTACTGCCCTGAGAATTAATTTCCCAAACCTTCACCCAGCAGTAACTGGGTGAGGAGGATGGTTCAAAATGCAGACAACCCTTCCAATTAGTCTGCTTTCCACCCCCGCCCCCCGCCCACCTTTCAATCCCAGTCTTAGCCCACTGGACACACAATGGGTCTGCCCCCTGTGGGGGAGGTGGGGGTGGGTGTATGGAGTAGGGTTCATGTGGAGGACCTCCTTTCCTCCTGGGCCTGGCCACAATGGCCATTCACATGAATACATGTGCCATGATGGGGATCAGTTTGACCTGACTGCCTGCCCCACTTCTGTGGTTCCACCTGGAGAGAAGAGCAAGCAGCCCTTGCTAGCATGCCAAGAAACATAGAAAATAGGAGCAGCAATAGACCATTTGGCCCTTGGAGCCTGCTCTGCCATTCAATATGACCATGACAGATTATCCAACCACTTTCTCCCCATATCCTTTGGTCCCTTTAACCCCAAGAACTATGCCTAACTCCTTCTTGAAAACTTACAATTATTTTAGCCTTAACTGTGGTCTGTGGTTGTGAATTCCAGAGGCTTACCACTCTCTGAGTCTAGAATTTTCTTCTCATTTCCGTCCCAAAAATAGTTTACCATTTCCTTAGATTGTGACCCCAGTTCTGGACTTTCCCACTTTCAGGAACATCCTTCCTGTGTTTACCGTGTCTAGTCATGTTCATTTTTTTTTACATTTCCATGATTTCCCCCTCATTCTTCTCAACTCCATGAATTTAGTTCTAACCAACTTAATCCCTACTCATACATCAATCCTGCAATCCCAGGAATCATTTCGGTAAACTTTTGCTGCACTCACTCTATAGCAAGAACATCCTTCCTCAGATAAGGAGAACAAAACTGCACACAATACTCCAGGTGTGATCTCACCAAGGCCCTGTACAATTGCAGTAAGACATCCCTGCTCCTGTACTTGAAACCTGTTGCTATGAAGGCCAACGTACCATTTGCTACCTTTACCACCTGCTGCACCTGCATGCTTACCTTCAGTGATAACAAGGTGTAGAGCTGGATGAACACAGCAGGCCAAGCAGCATCAGAGGAGCAGGAAGGCTGATGTTTCGGGCCTAGCCCCTTCTTCAGAAATACCTTCAGTGACTGGTATACACAGACACCTGGTCTCCTTGCACATTCCGCTCTCTCAATTTATCACTATTGAGATCATAATCTGCCTCCTGTTTTTGGTGCTAAGTTGATAACTTCACATTTATCCACATTATACTTGTCCAAATCAGGCTGAAGCATCTCTGCATCCTCCTCACAGCTCACCCTCCCACCAGCTTTCTGTTACAATTGAAATTGGACTTTTATATTTAGTTCTGTCATCTAAATCATTCATGTACATTGTGAATAGCTGGACTCCAAGCATTGAACCCTGTTTTACCCACTAGTCATTGCCTGCCATTCAGAAAAACATTTGTTTATTCCTACTCTGTTTCCTGTCTGCCAGCCAGATTCCCACGCACTTTAATTTTACACATCAATCTCATATAATTTTGTTAAAAGTCTTCTGAAAGTCCAAAAAACCAACAACCACAGATTCCCCCTCATCACCTCTACGAGTTACATCCTTGAAGAATTCCAGTAGATTTGTCAAGCGTGATTTCCCTTTGGAAAATTCATGCTGACTGTGTCTGATTATCAATTAAATCTTTTATAATGGACTGTAGTATTTTCCCACAACTGACATTAGGCTATCTGGTCCTTAATTTCCAGTTTTCTCTCTGGCTCCCTTCTTGATAGCGGGGTTACATTATCCACCCTCCAGTCAGTAGGAACTGTTCCAGAATCTATAGAATCGTTGAAGATGACCGCCAACGCATTCACAATTTTTAGTACCATTTCCGCAAGTAGCCTGGAATGTAGATTACCAGGGCCCGGGCATTTATTAGCCTTCAATCCCATTAATTTCCGCAGCACCACTTCCTTACTAATATTGATTTTCTTCAGTTCCTCCCTCTCATTAAAGTCCATATTCCCCTACATTTCTGGTATGTTATTTATGTTCTCCTTTGTGAACATACAGCATAGGGTGGTACAGTGGCTCAGTGGTTAATACTGCTGCCTCACAGCACTAGGGACCTGGGTTTGATTCCACCCTCGGGCGACTGTTTGTGTTGAGTTTGCACATTTGTCCCGTGTCTGCATGGGTTTGCTCCAGTTTGCTCTGGTTTCCTCCCACAGTCCAAAGATGTGCAGGCTAGGTGAATTGGCCATGCTAAATTGCCCAGAGTGTTCAGGGATGTGTAGATTGGGTGGGTTGTAGGGGATGGGTCTGGGTGGGATGCTCTGAGGGTCGGTGTGGACTTGTTGGGCCAAAGGGCCTGTTTCCACACTGTAGGGATTCTATGATTCAAAGTATGTATTTAGCTGCAACAAAGCCAGAAATTGCCGGAAAAGCTCAGGAGATGATGTTTTGAGTCCAGTGACCTTTCATCAGACAATGCTTTATCTTCATAGATGCTGCTGGACCTGCTGAGTTTCTCCAGCAATTCCTGTTTTTGTTTCAGATCTCCAGCATCCACATTTCTTCATTTTATGTATTTAGTTGATCAGCCATTTCTTTGTTCCCCAGTATAAATACCCTTGTTTCTGACTAAGGGATATCATTTGTCTTCACCAATCTTTTTCTTTTCATATACCTATGGGACCTTTTATAGACAGTTTTTATAATCCCTACAATCTTACTCTAGTACATTATTTTTCCTTTCTTAATCAACCCTGTTGTCCTCCTTTACTGAATTCTAAAATGCTTCTACTCCTCAGGTCTATTGTTTTTTTTCAACAAGAGCGGTGGAGGAGAAGCATCTCAAACCACAGTATGGCTGGGGTGCAAGGAATATAAAGCCTATTGGTGATTAGGATTGGTGAATGTTTCCAGTCTTTAAAAGAAAAATCGTGTCTTTAGGTCTCCAATGTTTATCTTCTCACTTTTCTTAAAAGCTATAGCTGCTTAACAATAAAATCGATACTGTTTTTCAATTTTAAAAAATATAAAGAGCATGGAAACTTGAGTAATTTATAAATTAAATTAAACAGGGTAGTGATGGCAGATTAGGTGATGTGCTGCTGCTGCAGCATGTAGGAACTGCTGGACACCAATGTGATCCAGACTGAACACATCTTTAGTAAGTGCTTGCAACTAAGAAACTTTGGATCCAAGTTGAGGAGCTAGATTCTGAGTTGCAGACCTTACGCCAAATCAGGACAGGGGAAAGTTAACTGTACGCTTTGCTCCAGAGGGCTGTCAAATTCTTCAAATTAAATAATTCAAAATTAGTCTGTGATCAGGGACAGGAAGGCGTGACTGCTGGTGAGGCAAGTGTGAGGACCTGGGGGTTACCACAGAGGAGCATCAGTCCTTGGAAATGGCTAACAGTTATAGGGTTCTGGCAAGCTGTGTGGACAAGAGTGGAGGATGAACAAACTGATCATGGCACGTTATTACAGGGAGCCATTCAATTAGGGGAAGGAAATAGGAATTGTGGTTGTGATAGGGGACAGGGAGAATAGATACTGTTCTCTGCAGCTGCAAGTGAAAGTCCTGAAGGCTGTGCCAGCCCGGAGCCAAGGTTAAGGACAGCTCCTCGGGGCTAGAGAGGAACTTGGAGAGAGAAGGAGAGATTCAGTAGTCGTCATCCATATTTGTACCAAAAGCATTAGTAAGCCTAGAAGAAGTTGCTGCTAAAACAATTTGAACAGTTAGAAACTAAATTTAAAAAACAGAACCTCCAATGTAATAATCTCAGGATAACTGTCAGAGCCACAGGCAAATCATTATAGAATAAATAAAAGTACAGAGTTAAATGCTTGGCTCAAAACTTGATGTGGGTGCAATAGGTATCAGTTCATGGGGCCAGTACTAGCAGAGAAAGGAGCTGTTCTGGTGGGACCAGCTTCACATCAGTTACGTACTGGGACCAATGTCTTGGCAAATCAAATAACTCGAGCTGTGGAGAGGGCTTTTAACTAACTAGAAAGGGTAGGGTTTGGGAAAGGGGAAATGTAGGATTAATGGGTATGATCAGTGGTTGAGAATGCTGAAACATGCTTACAAGGAGATCAAAGCTAAGAACTAAATATTCTAACTTTTCAAAAGGACAGGCAGGAAGGAAATTGTGGTTGGGTAGTATTGTTGATCCAGGAGGGAATAAGTGCAATAGCAGGAAATGACTGTGGATCAGAAGACATAGTATCCATATGGGTGAAGGTAAGAAATAGAAAGAAGACACTGCTAGGAATAGTCAATAGGCCCCCTAACAGTAGCTGTATGGACAGGAATAAATCAGGAGATAATGAGGATTTATAACAAAGGCAGTATACAGGAACCCTGGGTGATTCCAATCTTCATGTAGATTGGAATAATTAGATTGGCAGAGGAAACCACAAGGAAGAATTCATTTAGTGTATTTGGGACAGTTTCCTAGAACA